TTGGCTCATTTTCTTCTGGTTCTTCGTCAAGAATGGATAATATGTTGTTGTATGATTTGTGGCGCTTTGAGTCTGAATCTTCAAGCTCAATGACTTGTTCATGGGATTCTTCTCTCTGTCGTTTTGATTGAGTTTCAGCCATTGGAGAGAGAGAGAGAGGGACGGAGGGAGGGAGGTAGAGTATGAGTGAGAATGTGATGGGCAAAAAGGGTAGGGTTTGAAAGGTTTATATAGAGAGAGAGGATATGGGAAGTTTCGGTCAAAGATAGAAAGTGAGAATATTTAATCCATTTTTAATTTTCACTCCCCCCATTGGTGAGTGTGAGAGAGATGTTGATAGGTGAGAATATTAATTTTAATTAATTTATAGTTGATCAAATAAATGATTTATTATTTAAGCGTGAGTAATGCTATTTTACTCTATTAAAATTGCAATTCCAATTTATGTGCCATTTCTATAACATTAAATGATTAGTAGAATTAAATGACACATTCACATTTCATTTAATTTATCATTTAGCGTCATCTAAATTGAAATTGCAATCCCAATAAAATTACACAACATTATTATTTAAGCATAGCATTACCTAGTGGGTCGTTTAATTTTTAAAAGTTATTCATTAATTAGCCTTTGTTTGGTAAATAATGTTTTGAATAATGATTTTTAGAAGAATGTGTAATTAAAAAGTATGAAAATTTTTTAATTTACGTGTAAAATATTTTAGTGTTTGAATGTATGGTTGAAAATAAGTATGTAGAAAAAATTTTGAAATTAATTGTTGCCAAACATGGGCTTAATTGGTGTGTTTTATAGTTGTTTAGTATCAATGGTTCTTGGGGACCATTTTATAAAACTTTTCAAAAGTTAAAAATTGTTTCTGAATATGTTTGAATAATTTTTTTAAAGTATTCTGAATATATCAGGATAATTTTTTGAAAGTACTTTGTCAAACTGAAAGAACTTTTTAAAAAAATTAGTTGAAAATAAGTTTATCATGAAAGTCCTTATTAGATCAATCTCTATAATGGATAAATAATAACGTCTATGTAGCACCTCTAATGTTTATCAACAATCTAAGAAATATAGAGCAGACTCTACCTTTATACCCTAGGATAAGGAAATTTAATGAAGATGCTTTTAGTACTTTAATGAAGATTATGATAAAAATTATGGATTCTCGAATTCGAAGTTCAATAATATATTTATTTTACGTAAAAATTGGAAGTAGGCAATAGGAAAAGTAAGAATAAGAATAAACATATTTACGTGAAAATTTTAGATGGAAAAAAGTCACGAACAGAAGAGGAGGAGAAAAACCATTACATCAAATATGAGTACAAGAGGAGCGTCTTGGACGACTACTCCGAGTAATATGATAAAACCCTAAAATACATCATATACGGCCCTATAAACCCGATCCCTCCACTATCACCACATACTTATCATAATTTTAGGTTCATCTCATATGTTGCACTACAAACTTTCGAACCCTGCTGAGCTGTCAGGGAGGGTTTGACACCCTCTTTGACAGGCCACTCACAACATGGGGGGTGGGGAGAATTTTTTTTCTTTTTTAATTCATATGGGCCCTGCATGGATCTAACCACAAATGTGAGAGGATGTCAATCAAAGTGTCAAATTTATTCTGACAA